AGTAATTTATTACAGACCAGTGTACAGCTCGTCAAAAATGACAGGGCAAGTACTACCACCCCCACCCCATAGTATACCCTAACCTCATATTTTATAGCTAACTGAAATAAGTACATTTTGTGAAATCAAGTTTGACCAACAAAGAAGCAGAAAAGTGCAGTCGATGTAGTCAAACGTCAGTAAATTCCTTTGTGAGCCAATCAAATTAAGATCATTCATGAAACGAATTCGTGGCGTATAATTATTGGTAAAAATCAGTTAGATTAACAACTTTTAATATACAGAAAAGCCAGTGTATTTTGGTAACACCACGTTCCAACAATGGCTTTAATGTCATGTTGATTAGCAACAAAAGTATAACCTAATATTGTTGTTAGTCTATGTACTGAAAGAATAAAATGTAATGTATAAACAACAAAACTGGTCTATTAAAAACGTTAAACGTTATTAAATAGCATAATTCAGAAACGATTTCAGTTTCGTGATAAATTTTAGGCACTTGGCTCTAGGCTAGGTGATCCCACACTACGTCTTTACTTTAGGCTGATTATACCAGCACTCACTACACTTATAAGGTTTTAAGGCACCTCATCACTAAAATCATAATGGGTAGACAGAATTGAACTATTCTATCTGGATAAATGCATTTTGGCTTTTACGACTCCTCCTATTTCGAGAAATCAAACGTGACATGACGTGACACACAATGGCTTTTGTATAGGTTAGATGATGATGAAATTAATTAATTAAGGGTTGGGAAGAAGTGAAAAAATACTGCGAAATTACTTCATGCTAACACCAGTCTCGCACATGAATAAATTCAAAGTTTCATTTACGTTTTATAGTCTCACTTTCAGATTATTACTGCAACGACAAAATCGATTGCTTACTTAAACTACATGTTTTTCGTGCCTTTACTGAAACTAATGGCTATTTCTCATTTACAGGGCTACCGTATCGAAAGTTCCAAGGTTCGAGACGGTTAAGAATAGTCAGCGTGTATAGCTGATTGACTGCATATAATCAGCAGTTTCAAATCAGGGTTGGCTACGTGTGAACTTCGGGACCTCTGATTAGACAATTTGTCTACAAGTTTACAGTACTGATATTGGTCCATAATTCTTGAACTGTTGACCAGAGGAAAGAGTCAGCGCAGCCTATGCCACCACTCTCGTCCAACTGTTGATCAGAGGAAAGAGTCAGCTCAGCCTACGCCACCACTCTCGTCCAATAGCGGGATTGCCTGCAAAGCTCATAACAAACACTCACCGCTGAAGGTGTTAACCGCAATCAGTGTTATCGCTGCACGAACATTGGACCTTCCGACACGCAGCCCGACACAAAGTGACAATACCAAATATCAAAATCTTAAAGAACTTACAGGTAGCACGAACCCCTTCAGAAGAGTAAAAAAAAACGAAATATATAGTTATTTAATATTTAAATATCGTGAATATAGGGAAGACAGCTTCGATGTAAAAGAATCTTTTAAATATTCCATGTAAATTTATTCGTTTTGGAGCACACACGATTTGGTGGCCTGAAAAATGGTGTTTGACGTGATAATACTAACAAAAAAAAAGTCATTTCCTTTATCTTGGGAAAGTCATTTACATAAAATATTGATACACGTAGAAGGTATTATTTATCAATTATTCTACCCAACGGACTACCTACGTTTCGCCCACTGCAGGTATCAAAACCTAATATCTTGAGTTAGAAGCTCCCAACTTACTGCTGAACCACCGGATGACTGATGGCAATGTAATATTTTATGTATCGTATGATGTCAATTGTACTTTAATAGTTGAAATTATACAACCCCCTCCCCCCCCCAAAAAAAAAGATAAAGATGAAACGCGCCTACTCCAGCCTGTAGTAATAAACGTCGCTTCTATATCTTCGTTTTATAAAAAAAAACTTACTATTTTGTTTTCTGTGTAAGATAGTGTGCACCTTAATAACTGATCTGTTAAACATATGCACCTTAATAACTGATCTGTTAAACATATGCACCCTAATAACTGATCTGTTAAACATATGCACCTTAATAACTGATCTGTTAAACATATGCACCTTAATAACTGATCTGTTAAACAATGCACCTTAATAACTGATCTGTTAAACATCTGTTTTGAGGTACAGGATGCACCTTAATAACTGATCTGTTAAACATCTGTTTTGAGCTACAGGACGGGGCAGAATACCGTTAAAATGTTTGAAGTCTTACCGACATGTTTTTTTTTGTTGTTGTTGTTGTAGTGAGGATAATTTAGTTAGCAGCTGTATTTTGTACTTTCGTTGAATTGTTGTTTACCTTCAAGATGCACGTGCATAGTTACATAATGGGCTATAGCGGAGAATAGAACTCCGGATTTTAGCTTATTGCTGACACACTGGTGGACCAAGGGCGTGCGTAGTTTGGGTTCTATTGAAATACCCGGATGATAAGTAGATGTGTACATAAAAGCTCCGATCTGCAAACAAATGCAATCTCGTGTTTCAATCGTCATAACAATTACAAATAATATATATTTTTTGAAATCATAATAAGCTGCCGATAGATGGCGCAAGCAACTAAATTGGTTCAGTGAGATCACTCTCCAAGGTAATTTTATGTAACCGACGTGGAAAGCAATCAACTTTTGTTCCGGGTACTAGCTTTGAAATTACCAATTTGTTTTTATACCGTTCATCACCAGTGGAGTAACATATTACTTCATATTGAGTTATTTTATGTTTTTGCTTGTTAGAAAACTCAGCGTAAAAACTATTTTATGCAAAATACACGGGCGATTTAGCACCCATGGGTTTAATTGCAGTATTGGTAGGATGTGGACTCGTACGTCGTAAGAGGACATGTAACTAAAAATGACATGAATC